TCCAATGAAATATTCAAGTCTCATTATATTTCTAACAATGGCGACAGTTACGCACAGAGAAGTCTGTGACAGTAATCAGCTGTAATTCTTCATTCTTGACTGGGGGTGGGGGGGATTGGGTGGGGGGTGGGGGGCACGGGTAGCCAGTCTTCTAAGGCGCCGCGATTTGTTGTGCAGAGTTGCGTCCCTTGGGCACGCCAGAAACCTATGATTGTGGGTTCGAATCCCGGTTCGCACCGATTTTGTTTCTAGGTTTGTCAGCGCCATACCCGTACTCGTGGATTTCACAAAAGTGGTAAACATCAAAGACCAGCATCATCATTTGGGCATTCCTTCAATATTAGGCTGATATAACTGGAATACTGTTAAAAGCGGCGTTAAACCCAACTCACTCACTCATTCCTGACTGACATACTTTTTCGTACAGAAAAGTATGTATAGTTTGTATCTTTTCTGCCAATGAAGGATTGTGGGCGCTAAAAAGGATAGCGAATAAGCGTGTCTTAGAGAATATTTATCTTTTCTTGTCAAATAACATGTTTATCTCATCGGGTGACCTGGAACGGTTTTATCGGTTCAGGGCGCTAACTCTGCAAGTAATTTCCGTTCCGTCTTATGTGTTCATCCAATGAGGGTGCCAATGTAAGTGTGATATGAATATATCTTACCTGGGTGCCAGCCAAAGAAGCAAGTTCTGTTGGTGTCTTATGTGTTTATCCCACAAGGGTGCCAACGTAGGTGCCATATGGTTTTATCTTACCAGGGTGCCTACCCTACAAGTATTTTATTATGATGAGTGGACATTTGTACAGGCATGTATTTGTATTGGAACATGTACATGTTTGGGCAATGGAGTTCTGTAGAACACCAGATTCTATGTGGATTCTATTATTGTAGCATTCTTTGTACGGATTTATATTTGTAGAGCACACATTTGTATTGTACCCGGGATTTGGTTTATTAAACAAGTAGGGGATCATTAAATATAAATATTAACACCCAGCATTAGAACTAAGATAAGTGTCCACGACAAACATTCTGTGCAAGAACGTGTATGTTTGTAAAACTTAACACTGAAACACATCCTAGAGTTTGCACGTGTGTCTCGCAGTAGCGCCACACAGGTACCTCGGTGTCATTCCTGATTTTGATACTTTCAAGGAAGGTCGATTAATCTCTATGGGTCATTATTTCAGTCAATCTTACTGATTCTGCTTATCATACAGTTCTGATTTACTCGATTTCATTCATTGTTTGTGTAAGAACTAGCGACGCGGCGTCTGCAATATGCGGAGTGTCTACGGGCTTTTGGCATGCTGGAAATTGGCAGTAGTCAATCGACCCCGTTCAGGGCGTCCCAGGTCAACGACAGACTACAGGATGGGTTGATCCGACACCAGGCTACACGATATCAAGCTCATACGGTGAATCAAATTGCAGCAAACTTTCATCATGCTACTTGAGTACGGGCTATGGGGTCAGGCGATTAGAATGCGTCTACATGCAGCTCTTCACCATGCTCGACGGTCCCGTGTTGTGCCGCCACTTTTAAATCGTCCTTTTCCCAACAGATATCAATGACGTACACAACGTCGAAACTTGGACAATCGTCGATGGTCAGGCGACGTGGAAACTAACATCAAGCCAATGTCAACCTGAGACCTCATGACAGATTTGGCGCTGGATCGGTTATGGTGGGGGTTGGCATCAGTATAACTGAGCGAACCCCACTCCATATTAAGCAAGGACTCTTTGTTGCTGCAAAGCAGCTTCCGGATTGGCATGGCCATGAGAATAATAGAAGAGTTAACGCATCCTTGACTTGCAGAGGTCCAATTGCGTATGGTCCGCAGAGGTTCACTTGCGTGTGGTAGGCAGAGATCCACTTGCGTGTGGTAGGCAGAGATCCACTTGCGTGTGGTCGGCAGAGGTCCTCTTTTTTAGTAGACAGAGAACATGGACATGAATACTCAGGAGGATAATGATAAGCCTCCTTTGGGTTAAAGGTCAGATGTGCAGGTTGGAAAGTTGATGTGACACCCGGTGTTAGAACTACTAGGATCAGGGAACCACTGGGAAGACCGTAAAACGTAACCCTTGAATGACCGCGTAGGAAAAACCCAATAAGTGTGGTGAGGGTGAGATGGTTTAAATGGTGTTATAGTTACATCGTGCTGTTGAACGTTTACCACTTTTGTGAAACCCAAGAGCACGGATATGGTGCTGACAAATGGATGATAATATTTGGGGAGAATTCATGATCCGAGAAACAAGCCAATATTTGGGGGTTCAATTTTGGACTCTTCCTGTAGGTTATTTGTAATGCGTGGCACGCTGTGTTTGTCTGCAGTGTCACAGTGTCACAGTGAGGCACATTTGGTTCTTACTGAGACACCAGTGACACCCTGAACTGTACCCACTTTTGACATCCTGTGGTCCACAATGGTGGCTGTTTAACAGATAAGAAACTGGTCAATAGTTCTAAATGAATCTCAATGGTGAAAACTATCATTGATCGGATATCACAAGTTGTGTCACCTTGCCAGATGTTTTATGTTATGCGTTAAAATCATGTTATATGACAAGAGCCAGAAAGATCAAGTTAAAAGGTTGCGAGTCAATCAATTCTGGAATAGAGCATTGTGATTCTATTTTTACGACGTCTATGAAATTACTTAAGATATTACTTGTGGCTATGGGAAGAGTTTTATCGCTTTAAATACTTCAGGTCCAATCCTGATTGATGAAACATAATTGGTTGTGATATTGTACCATCGTCGCCACATGTTATAAATCTAATGTGACTTCATCCCATTGTTCTCCAAGCGGGTTGTTGCATCTCATAACCAGAGATATTACAATATCCCAGGGATTTTATCTTTTTATTAATTGTTTTTAAAATATTTCCCGCTGCTGGGTTACACCTCTAAGGATTCTCAACACCTGATGGAAAATATTTTGAAGCCATATTTTGGAGGGTAATGGGGGGGGGGGGGGGGGGGGGTGTTATTTCGAAAAAAATCTTTATTTCGGTACAAATTACCACCAAAGACAATAAATAGATCTTAAATAGATCACACCCCCCCCTTTCAAGAAAGCTGTATCCGCCCATTGACAACTTGCTGACGGTGTTAACTTCTTTGGTCATGTGGACAAGGGTCTGACCTCGGATCAGAAGGTCCGTGGTTCGAATCCCATCGTGGGACTCGGAAATATATATGGCCGCTATGTTGGTGCTCAACGTGGGACTGAGCACGTTCATATTTAACTTGAGCACAATAAGCCTCAGTACCCTACTATTTTTTCTGGGACGTGCCTTCTGTTGCCAGGGGAGTATAGCAGGACGTGGAGTCATCTTATAGATGACATCCTTACCATGTCAGCTTGTTGAAGGGGTTAACTTCTTTCGTCATGTGGACAAGGCGCCCGACATGTGATAAGAAGGTCTGTGCTTCGAATCTCATCACGGGATTCGGAAATTTTATGGCCGCTACACACGGACGAAATTTACAAACCACTCACTCTCAATTATTGCGTTGTATTAGGCAGTATTCCAGCAATATCACGGCGAGGAACACCACAAATGTACTTCACATATTTTAGCCATGTTTGTAATCGAACACGGGTCTTCGGCGTGACGAGCGACCCATATAACCACTAGGCTACCCAGCCGCCCTTTTTCGTTTATGAAAGTGTGTACACAGATACGTGTATTATCATTTAAAAGTATTTGAAAGTGAAAAAGTAGGCCGATAAGTTGTATAAAAAACTTCCCTTCGGGTTCTTATGGTATCTAAACCCCGCATTGTCGGGGTTGTACGTACTTTATGTGGACATGCGAAGTCTCAAGCCAATTATTTCTAAAACAGCGTATCCTTCTAATGAAACATTTAAGCCTCGTTGTTTATGTAACAATGCCTTCGGTTACGCACAGAGAAGTCTGTGAGAATAATAAGCTGTAGGTTTTCATTCGCATACCTGACTACACTTCTGACATAACTTGTATTGCAGGTATCGCATTGTAATGTGACATCGACATTCACGATGTATTGGGTTTTCTGTTTTGCTTCATTATCCTCAATACAAATTGTCAATGCAAGAGAATACCCAGTCCTCATTATCCTCCGAAGCAGATTACCATTTGGCGACCACTGGAAATCAGTGATGGCACCAGGTGTTCGGGAAAGGGTAAACAAAGGTGAGAAAAGTGTAAGAGACACGCGGACCAGCTAAGGCAATATGTAACGGCTATGAATCTAAATTTTCAGTAGGACATATTCCGAACACGTTTGTACAAGAACAGACAATTATGTATGGTGTGTACATTTTCTACCAATGAACGAGTGTAGCTTCTAAAAGGTTTGCGAACAAGCGTTTATCTGGGCCGTTCCAAATTTCCTATCATTTTGTGAAATAACATGTGGTTTACACAATCAATGGATTGAACCGAGCAATCAAACGATCAATGTGTACAGTACGCTTGAATCCCAATAAAGTTATTGACTTATTCGCTTTGTGATTTTCCGTTTTCTACAATCTATATGCAGTCTCCAATACAATATGACGTCTTCCCAAAGTCACGTTAAACACCCCAGACATTATGCAAACTTAACAGATCTAGTTCACCTGAATCGAAATAATCACTAGCATCCATGATTGACAAATAGGGCTAAGAGTATCAGAGATGCATCAGCACACGTGTTTGCACGTCGGTGACTATAACATCAAAGCCCTTTAAAACGTCAGATAACAATACGTTTGTTGTATTTATTGCGTACCGTTCCTGTGAGTGAACAGTGACAATGTATGTGATTGAACAACGAGTTTTCATCAATGTATGGTCTAGAACATTTATGTGTTTAGAGCGATTAGGTGTTCATTATCGATTATCCGTTAATGTGTTTAGCTATTCGTATGATCACATGACCAATATGACCAATACGAATTTGTTTGCTGGGTGAGACAATCGTTTAAACGGAGGGTGCGCCAGAGAGGGAACCAGGGAGGATGATATCAACAAATATTTGGATTACGAAGCTTTCAGTTGGAACTTGTCAAAGGAGGGTTATATGATAAAGTTCGCATTTGACCAGACATCGTTTCATTGCGTGGAGCTACCTACTTCAGATTGGGCGAAAGTTGCATTAATATTACAGAAAAAATGCCTTATTGTCAATTTAACAGAATTATATCCTGAAGACTTCAGCATTAGGCAGCTAGTCATCCAGATCCTGTGCCGTTCACAGCAGAATTAATAAAAAGTCGGAGACGGTGGTTGGGATCGGAACAGCGTTTGGATATCGAAGCTTTCATTTGGAATTAATTAAAGGAAGGTTACATACCAAGATCGCATTTGAGCAGACGTCATTTAGTTGCGTGGAGCTACCACTCAGCTCTAGAACTTCAGATTGAGAGAAAGATCAGGACTATAACAGAAGAACTGTCTCATTATCAATGTAGCAGAATTATATCAGGAAGACCAAGAGCATCATCCACAAGACAGTGTCCGCCGGGTCTTCAGCATTAGGCAGCTAATCATCTAGACACTATGCCGTTCACAGCAGAATTAATGAAAAGTGGGAGACGGTGGTTGGGGTTGGAACAGCGTTTGTCAGAAATCGCCCCCAAACCCCATAGCTCCCCATCACCCCTGACAATGAATTGCGATCAGTGGAGGAGGCCCAGCTATACCCTGGCTACAAAAGATAGTGAGATGGCGGACAATTGCTCAGTATTCGGGAGTCAAACGTCCCTCGGCACAATCACGGCATTGGAAGTAAGTGTTATAGAGAATATTTATCTTTTCATGTCAAATAATATGTTTATCTCATCGAGTGACCTGCAACGTTCATATTTTTGTGGATAGAGCAGCAATTTCTGTAGGTGATCGTTTTATCTTACCAGGGTGCGGAAGTAAGTACCATCTGGTTTTGTCTTACCAGGGTGCGGAAGTAGGTACCATCTGGTTTTGTCTTACAAGTATGCCAGTGTAGGTGCCATTTGGTTTTGTCTTACCAGGGCGCCAACATAGGTGCCATATGGTTTTGTCTTACCAGGGCGCCAACATAGGTGCCATTTGGTTTTGTCTTACCAGGGCGCCAACATAGGTGCCATATGGTTTTGTCTTACCAGGGCGCCAACATAGGTGCCATATGGTTTTGTCTTACCAGGGCGCCAACATAGGTGCCATATGGTTTTGTCTTACCAGGGCGCCAACATAGGTGCCATATGGTTTTGTCTTACCAGGGCGCCAACATAGGTGCCATTTGGTTTTGTCTTACCAGGGCGCCAACATAGGTGCCATTTGGTTTTGTCTTACCAGGGCGCCAACATAGGTGCCATTTGGTTTTGTCTTACCAGGGCGCCAACATAGGTGCCATATGGTTTTGTCTTACCAGGGCGCCAACATAGGTGCCATATGGTTTTGTCTTACCAGGGCGCCAACATAGGTGCCATATGGTTTTGTCTTACCAGGGCGTCAACATAGGTGCCATATGGTTTTGTCTTACAAGTATGCCAGTGTAGGTGCCATTTGGTTTTGTATTACCAGCGTACCTACCCAACAAGTAATTTGTGAAGGTATCTTACATACTTTGACTGAGTGGACTTTGTACAGGCATGTATTTGTACTGGCACATGTACATGCATGGCTGATGAAGTTCTATAGTACACCAGGTACTCTATTATTGAATTTCTTTTGTACGTGTATGTATTTGTAGAACAAATGTAACTTTACTTATTTGTATTGAACCGGGAATTAGGGTTATTATGCTTTTCTATCAGTGAAGATACCGGTTAGAATAAGTCTTGCTTGTCATAAGAGGCAACTAACGGGATTGGATGGTCAGGATCGCTGTCTTGGTTGATTCATGTCATCGTCTGTTAAGTATTGTCTGTTCCAGACGTGATTATTTACAGACCGCCGTCATGTAGCTGTAATATTGCTCCGTGCGGTGTTACACAAAAATAAACAAACAAACAAATATTATGCTCTTAAAAAAGTGGGATCATGAAACACATATGTCAATACCAAAGATTAAGTTTAAAGATAAGTTAAACGGAACACCAAAACAAATCCTATAGTTTGGACGTACCTCACGCAGAAGTGCCACACACGTGCTTAAGATGTCATTCCTGATTTTGACACCTTCAGTGAAGGTCGATTAATCTCTTTTTAAAAATTATCTTTGTATCGGAAAATATGCCTCTAATAAAGCTATTCTTGGTGAAACTGGACGATTAAATATGTTCGTGTTTAGCAAAATAAGGGTACTTAAATACTGGTTGAGATTGCTACGTATGAATCAATGTCGATATCCAAAACAATGTTACAATCTACTTAAACAGTTAGATGATAATGATAAACACACCTGGGTGTCTGATGTAAGATATATTTTGTTTTCTTCAGACTTTTCATTTGTATGGATCTCTCAACATATTGGCGATGAAAATCTCTTTTTGCTAAAAATAAAACAAAGGCTGAGTGATATGTATTCTCAAGAGTGGCATGACTCTATTTCTTCATCAAAATATCTGTCACATTATGCAAATTTGAAATCACTTTTACAGCCAGAATTTTACACCAGTAATCTCACGAATAAATCACTCAGGAGAGCATATTGTAAATTCAGAATATCGCTACACGGTTTTAAGATTAACATGTTACGAAAGTCAAAACATACAAATGAAGACTTGAGTTTATATCTATGTACCCACTGTACAGGGAGGCAATTAGAGGATGAATTTCATGTTTTGTTTATGTTTAAAATATTCTTCTGTCAGAAACCACTATTTGCCTTGGTTATCCAAGGTCCATCATGATAATCACAGTTTATGTAATCTACTCAACTCCAAAAATATCAACATTGTAAAGGCTTTGGCCTTATACTTAAATCATGTATTTAATGTGAAATAAGACTACTTGTATTTATTTTCCTGACATCACGTGACGCAGCAATTAATGTAATTGTAATTGTACTCTAGGCCACATGGCCCAAAATACTGAATAAAGAATCTTGAATCTTGATTAATCTCTGTTCACCATTATTGCCGTCAATTTTATTGATTCCACTTATCATACAGTTGTGATGTACTGGATTTCATTCATTGTTTGTGTAAGAACAAGCGATGCTGCGTCGTCAACGCTCGTTGTCCTGGAAATTGGCAGAAGTCACCATGCAGTGGCCAATACGTTGGAGTTTGCATAGTCAGTGAATAGCTGACTATGGAACAGGTACCACAATCGCAAAATGTAGACAATCGACCCTGTTCGTGGCGTCTAAGGTCAACGACAAGTGTATAGGATAGATTGAACGGAAACCAGGCTCTACGAAATCGAACTTGAACGACGAATCAAATTGCTGTAAACTTTCCTCAGGCTACTTGAGTATGAGTTACGGGTCCGGCGATTAGAAATCGTCTACATGCGGTGGATCGGGTTGGTGTGGAGTGGCATCATATGCCTGAGAGAACCCCACTCCATATTGTGCAAGGGCTCCTTGTTGTCCCGTTTTGCAAGGGGTTCGTCGACGTTTTGGACGCCGATGCCCGTGTTCACCGTGCACGAATCGTCAATGTTGACGTCCAGCAGCACAACATCCATAGAATGCCATGGCCAGCAATGAGCCCGGAGATCTTCCCCGTTAAACGTGTCTGGGTCATGCGTCAACGTCATAAGCCGTCGACCATGTCAACTAAACTTGACACCCCCAAATCGCCATTTGATACCTAGTGTACCTCGTCGAGTGAATGAATGTTTCACCAGTCATGACTGTATTGCGCACTACTGATCCATAAACGTCCACTTTGAAATGTCTCATCTTATCCATATCGTTGGCGGTCATACTTAACTACCCGTTGTAATGTGTTCCCAATTCGTTCATTAATATCACACAACTGTTAAGAGAAGTGATACTACTTACAATTTTGGAAAATTTTAGTTATATCCGAGTATGCCCTACCTTTTGAAGAATATATATAGATATTGATATAGATATATAATTTGATAGATATAGATATATATATAGATTTACTATTATCTACCATAACTGATTCCATAATGCTATGTAAACTATATACTGAAAATCAGTGATGACACCAGGGCCCACTTGCACAAAGCGACCTTAGCGCTAAGATGATCGTAACTCCCATACTTTAACATAGGCTTACAATAGTCTTAGCGCTAAGATCGCTTTGTGCAAGTGGGCCCAGGTGTCCGTGAAAAGGGTAAGCATGTGCTGCATTACCAGCAGCGTAAAAAAAGTAGGGGCGGTCGGGTAGCCTAGTGGTTAAAGCGTTAGCTCGTCACGCCGAAGACCCGGGTTCGATTCCCGACATGGGTACAATGTGTGAAGCCCATTTCTGGTGTACCCCGCCGTGATAGTGCTGGAATATTTCTAAAAGCGGCGTAATACCATACTCACTCACTCATAAAAAATAGTGATAGTCCTGTCATACGGCGGCAAGTAAACATCTAGAACCAGACAAACCAGTAATTAGTATCATGAGCAAATATCCACGTCGTCGGGGTATCAGGCCACGCTATCAACCGGTCTCACCATCCGATCCCTTCAAGTAAGTGTCGGTGAGTAAGGAGGTGTGAAAACTCCAAGTACGGGATAGCATTACGCATCATGTTGCTCTGTGCAACCACTGATTTCGTTAATTGCAGGGCAACGCCACGATCGTTGTAACAAATGTAATCTGCGCGGTTTATGAAACATTTAGTGATGTTTGACTGAAGTTGACCCCTAGCTGTTAAACTGATCGCGATACCGGACATGTTGTTGCACACCTTACTCTGAAACGCGGCAATGTGAAGTGGACACCAAACATACCCCAAGAAAAGGGAAGTGCCGCCGATATCAACACTATTACAATGTCATTTGTTGCGCCGATGTACGGTTTGAGATGAAACTAATAATGCATTCTACTTGTCGTGATCGTGGGATCAGTGTTGCCCACGTTACATAAGCAAATTGTTTTGCCAAATGAGAAACATAGAAATACGTATATCGGCAAATAAAAAAGAAACTTCACACAATCAAATGTAAAAGACTAACAGTAGCAGCGACTTATTCATCAATATTTTGGAAAGAATTTGGACATTTTTCCTGTAGACGGGAACATGTGGTTCATATTGACAGGACATCATGAGGTAATAAACTAGATGCTGACGTTTCTCAAGAAAACAAATCTGCTGAAACGGATAAATATACGAGGATTGATTGAAAAGTTCTCAGCCTGATCCTTGCAACGAGTTGTGACAATGGCTGAGTCCAAACAACAACCTAAAGTACTTGATCACTGCATATTCCTCAAGTTTGTCCATTTCCAAAGGCCACAGACCCCTGCTTATTTTACTGAATTTTCATAGCAAAACAATTTGCTCATTTGACTCAGGTTTTGTGGATAACCTCTATGACATCATATAATGTCCACAACAAAATATCTCACTATTTAGAAATTCCTTCTTTCTGAGGCTTTGAAGTTATCAGTCAACCCTCGTATCTTTGAAATTCTTCAACTTACGAAAGCATAATAGTGCCACTTTGCTAGCATTAATTTATTTTTTAAGTCAAAATTTCGCGTTGTGTAAATTATTTTTTCGAAATTTCGAGTATTTTCTTGTTACTTCGAAAGGTTTCTCGTTATTTCAAGTTAATGTCAAAACCCCATTTCTTTTTTTTCTCGTCACTTCAATTATTTACGCGAATTTTTTTATTTTTTTCGTAACTTCGATTATCTTCTCTTTATTTTAATTATTTTCTCGTTGCTTCGAGTTTTTTCTCGTTACCTCCATTATATTGTCGTTATTTCAATTATTTTTTCGAAATTTCGGGTTTTTGAAATGAACTTGAAACAACGAAAAATAATCGAAATTACGAGGAAATAATTGAAGCAACGAGAAAAAACTCGAATTAACGAGAAAATAATCGAAATTCCGAAAATATAATCGAAGTAACGAGAACAAAATTCGTAATTTCGAGAAAATAAACGAATGACTGAAATAACGAGAAATTTCGATGTACAAATATATATATACTACCACAATGGCACCATTAGGCTTTCGCATATCCATTATTTGAAAAACCGTAAGTCGACAGGGACAAGTCATTACGTTATCCGCATGCTGAAAGGTTCTCAAGCCTTTGTGTTGTCCTTTCTAAATGCTGTTTAACAAGCTGCTTTACTTGGTTGTTTTCCCTGATGCCTGGACTGAAGCAATAATTGTTCCCTTTATATAATAAAGGTGAACGGTCAAACCGTGACAACTACAGGATAATATCGCTATTTCTCGTTGTGTCAATTCATTTTTCGAAATTTCGAGTTTGTTTCTCGTGACATCGGAATTTTGTTTCTCGTTATTTCAATTGTTTTCTCGAAATAACAAGTATTGTCTTGTTACTTCGAAAGGTTTCTCGTTATTTCAAGTTAATGTCAAAACCCCGACATTTCGGTTTTTTCTCGTCACTTCAATTATTTACGCGAATTTTTTATATTTTTTTCGTTACTTCGATTATCATCTCTCTATTTTAATTATTTTCTCGTTGCTTCGAGTTTTTTCTCGTTACCTCCATTATATTGTCGTTATTTCAATTATTTTTCGAAATTTCGAGTTTTTGAAATGAACTTGAAACAACGAAAAATAATCGAAATTACGAGGAAATAATTGAAGCAACGAGAAAAAACTCGAATTAACGAGAAAATAATCGAAATTCCGAAAATATAATCGAAGTAACGAGAACAAAATTCGTAATTTCGAGAAAATAAACGAATGACTGAAATAACGAGAAATTTCGATGTACAAATATATATATACTACCACAATGGCACCATTAGGCTTTCGCATATCCATTATTTGAAAAACCGTAAGTCGACAGGGACAAGTCATTACGTTATCCGCATGCTGAAAGGTTCTCAAGCCTTTGTGTTGTCCTTTCTAAATGCTGTTTAACAAGCTGCTTTACTTGGTTGTTTTCCCTGATGCCTGGACTGAAGCAATAATTGTTCCCTTTATATAATAAAGGTGAACTGTCAAACCGTGACAACTACGGGATAATATCGCTATTTACAAGTATTGTAAATTATAGAATTTCTAAATGGGCAAATTTGCAAGAGAAAACAACGTTTTGGCTTCTGACTAGAATACTCTATCACATATCATGCATTCACTTTGCAGCAGATAAAATAGAAATGTCTGTTAGAAAGAAAAGGGGAGTTACTGTAGCTCTGAGTTCCTATAAATTGTACTAAATTATGGCAGTGTTTAGTAAAGCTTTCAAAAAGTTTTATGGTAGATATGTGAAGAACATTTCCAAATTTGACGCATCGGTGACAAAGACGATGTCCGATGCTATTCCCTGTTTTGACTTGTTCCATATGTTCCCCTGGGTTTTTCCAGTCTTTATGAATCACTATCAAACATTGATAATTATAGGCGAAATGATGAGCGTATCCTGCTCTCCCAGTGGCACCATCATAAACACATGCAAAGACAAGTCAATTGTTCACCTGGAAAAAACCCACGCGGGAACATATGGTACAAGTCAAAATAGAGTTTGAGTCCTTTGAAGTGAATGTGCATATGGGTATGAGAAAAGACAATCCATGTTGAATAATGCAATTGCATGATACCGTTGTATATACTTGAATGTGCCTCACTGTATATGTTTCATTACATTTGTAGCAGATATGCTTGTGACCCCCACATGTGCAAAATAATGCATACATTCTTCGAATTGTCACGTCGTAAAGTATGAATATAAAAATGCTGAAACATGAAACTTCATTAATCTGGTTGGATCGATAATTATTGACTTGTAACACGTTCAATTTTAATTCGGGAAACTCATTTCTCAAGAAACTTCCCGCTCTGGCAGGTCTCGGTTAAATGTATTTACAAAATTCAACATTCCGTTTTCATGCGTATATACAAAGGGGAAAAAATGAAAAAAAATGAATATTTAAACCAGTACTTTACCTGTTTTCTGGTAATTTACACTGGTATCGCGACTGATATCTGTTCTGTTTCAGGTTGCCAGCAGCGGTAACCTGAAGGAGTTTGAGCGGATCTACAACTTGGACTCGTCTCGGCTCAGTGTACAGGACTCCAAGGGGAGAGCACCCATCCATCAGGCGGCGTTAAAAGGACGTATCCGGATACTAGATTTCATAAACAGACATGGAGGAGGTAACGTTTATAATTTATTCAGATGTAGATGGTTATCATAGATGGTAGTTAAATTCTTACTGATAAATATCATAGACGTACATGTTATAACACTGTTATTTGCAGTTGAGCTGCAGCACAAAATCATTATCTGGCAATAATTGCTTTAGATTCTAAACAACATCATCAACACTGCGAGTGAGTGAGTAATTATTGCTTAACGCCGCTTCCGGAATCTTGCAGTTATTCGCGGCCAAGATCAGCAAAGTAAATATATCATAATCGGATAAAAACAGAGTATATTGACATCTGACAGAAACAAATTTGTTCAAGTTAACTGCAATGATACGACGAGTTGTATTTTCATTACATCGTGAAGACTAGGTGGCCAAGTCGTCAAAGTCGCCGATGATAAAAATGTTTTGAATTCGTTAACATAATAAAATATATGGACAGACATTTCAGTCAATTTGTCATAGCCTAACTGATAATTTCAGTTATTTTACACATTGACTTAAACATATACACAGCTGACTGTTTATAATGAACACAGATGTTTTTGCTGACAAAACTATATTTTTCAAATTACCGCTATGCTACAGACCTCAACATTAAGGACGGTTGTGGCAACACAGCCCTTCATCTCGCCGTGGAGATGTCACAGGTGGAAAGTATTGACTTCCTGGTGGATGCAGGAGCCGACGTCACCGCCATCAACAGCAAGTGCATGCCCCCGATGCATTTGGCGGCAGATGGAGGACTCCTCAAATCTCTGGAGGTGAGTCCAGATGTCACAGCATTGGTTGTTTAAAAGGCGACTAACGGGATCGGGTGGTCAGGCTCGCTGACTTGGTTGATACATGTCATCGATCCCAATTGCGTGGATCGATGCTCATGATATGAATCACTGGACTGTCTGGTCCAGACTCGATTATTTACAGACCGCCCCCATATAGCCGGAATACTGCTGAGTGCGGCGTCAAACAACAAACCAACCAACCAAGCAGTGGTTGTTGCTGCAGAGATATACAACCTTTAACCCAGTGTCAACATTTCAATCGTTGTGGGAAGGACTGGTTTTTTTCTGGTATCCTTAAGACAGAGCTACTTGAGTACAACTCCTAACTGGTGTACAAGTTGTACATGACCATGTATACTGAGCAAAGAAAGTAACTTGATATTTTTGGGAATTTTTTTTTTAGTGAAGGATGAGCATATAATTTCATAAACATACCCCTAAAATATTCATGATGCCTAATTTATATTTGTTCATTGTATTGTCATTACGTATCTATCAGATGGACAGGCATGCCTTTTCTACAATCTATACTTCAGTTTGTTTGTTTTTTTGTTTATTGTTTAACGCCGCACTCAGTAATATTCCAGCTATATGACGGCTGTATGTAAATAATCGAGTCTGGACCAGCAACATAGTGTTTGACATCATGACTCCACGCAATTGGGATACGTTGACATGCATCAACCAAGTCAGCTGGCCTGACCACCCGATCTTGATCTTACGACAAGCATTGTCGTCTTTTTCGGCAAGCATGAAGACCTATTCTAACCCGTATCTTCACGGGTATCTATATTTCAGCACCAGCTGAATGTTGTTTGGTGCTTAAAATAGCTGTGTTAAATTGATATATAGACGCTTGATATGTATACGTCTTTTGTAGACCGATGTTCAAATACGTCTGTTATATTATGTGATCAATGACGACATTGTCTCCACAGGCGTTGCTAAAACACGACGACGTGGACGTGAACCAGAGAGGGGAAGATGGCATCACAGCGTTACACTTATGTGCCCTTAAGAACCAAGACCGCTGTGCAGGATTGCTGGTCAGTATGAGTATGACCCTCAGTAAACAAACATCTCGAGTGTCGGCCCCGGAGTATATTCATGTGTTATGTCCGTGCAGGGAATAGGTATATGCTGACGTCTGTGTGGTTTCATGTGAGGTGAGGTGAAATGGGGTTTAACATTATGGTTATGATTATTTTCGTTCATACTTCAAACAGCGACATGCATGCACGTTTGTGTGTTGATGCTTGTACTAATTCCGACTCTATAGTGCAAGGCCACTGGGATACCATGCAGCAATTAAACATGCACAGCCCCTCAGCCATTCGTGACCAACTCGTGTTATTCCGGGACAAGCCGAATAGCGACTCGTGCCCCTCTCATGGCCATTTTTGCGACCGGGTTCCGTCTTAGCGCAAACGGACATACCTAAAACAATTGTCAACTCGTTGCCTAATGGTTAACATATATTTCCCCATATATGATATATATATTTCAGATGCAATTTAAAGCACATCGGGACATGCGGAATTATACAGTATGATGGAACACATGTAACTGTGTCTTGGGTATATTTTTAGACGCAAGACGTATGTAAAATCAAAAATTATTTCTGAGGGATTCTTTGACGAAGAACTTGAAATCATGCGCGCACTCTGATTGGTTTGTCGTATTTTCGCACATAACATTCATCGATAGGGGGACGAATCTTCTTGCAGGTTGCGGAAAGGGGCGAGTGGTGACGAATGCCCCTCAGCCAGTCCAACCAGTCCTTGTTTCATCTCCTTAATCATCAGTGCCAGGCCAAGAAACAACAAGTACCAAATTTTGACGTCTTTTTGTATGACAGGGCCTTGGCATCGAACCACCGAACTTCCGCTCTCCATGTAGATGTTCTATCCACCGCACCAAGAAGGGATTGTGTGTAATATGTAAGAACTTTCTCCTTCAGCTTGAATACAACGCCAAGGTATGCATCACCTGCAACTATGGTTTCTACCCTATCCACTTAGCTGCGAAGTCGGCGTCCGCTGAAACCCTTGAGGTCCTCATCCAGGCTGGTGAGTAGATGTTCCTCTGTATACCAAGTTTTGAAACTCTTGATGGTGTACTCCATCGTTTGAATAGATGTGACCTTTTTAGGAATAACATTGTTCCATTAATGTGTGACCCGTGCCGTGAAGGCAATGCATGATAGGGATCGATTGTTCCACTTGACCTGATAAAGTTTGGTACGTATAACTGCATATTTGAATTGTTTCTTCTTGTAGATTGTTTTACTTTAAATAACATCACACACAGAGGAAGGAATATATGCATAAACATATCCTTGAAAGCTAGCATAAATCGGACATAATAATTGTTAAGGTTTACCAACAATCTTGAAAAATATATCCTTCGAAACTTATCCATATCAGAGTTACATGTGCCTCCTTGGAATCAGAAGCTAATATACCAAACCCGGGTAAGAATTTATCTTCAGCAACCCATGCTGATTGTAAAAGGCGATCGGGTGGTCGCTTACTTTGATGATGCATGTCATCGTATTGCGTAGAGTCATGCTTGTGATGTCAATCACTGGATTCTCTGATCCAGACTCGATTATTTACGGACTGCCGCCATATAGATGGAATACTTCTGAGGGTGGTGTTGAACAACAAACAAACAAAGCATATGACAGCAGGCACAAATAAGTTGCCTGGCAACGTTTTCAAATGTTTATCATATTTAAAATCAATGGTCTACCCACTAGGAATCAAGAACGGTTACAAGAGAGAAGCCATGTTGTCCTTTAAGGACATGGAGAACAACATGCCGCTGCACTCCGCAGTCCACGGCGGGGACCTCAAGGTGGGCAGATTCCGTATTTAACTCTTGTGCCATACTGACACTTTAAGTGTGATATGAACCGACGCCGATGTAACGAATCTGTAATGAAACGTCTTAGATGCTCGAGCAATAGCATCAGTTCAATCCTAAAAGCAGATACCAAGCTTTGGCAACCTCTTGCTACGCATTACCGATCCACATTTATTGTGTGCCATAATTTTTGTATCCATCCCAGAGTGATGTATTGTTGTACAATAGCTTCTGAGTGATATTTATAAGATGTAGAATAAGACTCGCAATAACGCCACAAACTTCATAAAGTTATTCGAAGTTACCCTAAAGAGACGTTGGTGATGGGTAGCCTAGTGGTTAACGCGTTGGTTCGTCACGCCGAAGACTCGGGTTGGTTACAATGTTTGAACCTCAATTCTGATGTCTCCCGCCGTTAATTTGCTGAAATATTGCTAAAAGTGGCGTAAATACCACACTCGCTCGCTTAAAATAGACGTCATAGTACTGGAATCCATAATCACGGTTTTGTCTGTATACATATCGTAACAAAGACTCTGTGAACTGACATATGCCCTTATGATATCTTGTGTTACCAAAGTTAAATATGCTTTGCAGACAACAGCGATTATTGTATGTCTGCAGTAATGTAATCAATATGATTGTTTACACATAAAACCTTTTATCTGTTATCAAGGTCGTTGAGGTTTGTCTGAAAGCAGGAGCTCCTGTCAACGCTCAGCAGGTAATGTATATGGACATGAATACACTCTGACAATCTTGACGAGTTTCAGCTTCAATGCTGTAAATAGGGCATTCAGGGAATCAATGGGCATTATTTTCAAATCTGTATTTATTTTTTAGATATTTTCAAGTATTCAGCAGATCAAATCAAGGGTGCTGAAATTCTCTGATATTTACAAAATTGACCAGATAGTGTGTGTGAATGAATGTTGCTTAACGCCGCATTCAGCAATATTCTCTGTCATGGCTGCCAACACAAATGTCAAGTTTAGTCCAGACAATCAAGTGTTTAATCCTCATTAATAGATTCGTAGGACACGCATGGGGTATGTAGATCGAACCTATTCTACCCCTGAATCACCATGGTACCAGATACACATGTAATATATTGATTCCATAATTTCATTTCAAGGATGACAAGTCGACTCCCCTTCACTTTGCGTGTGCCCAGGGCAACCTGGATATGATCCGGACGATGCATGACATGCAGACAGACAACTTCCTCTCCGCCATCTTCATCACCGACGTCCAGAACATGACGCCATTGCACAGGGCCGCCATCTTTAACCATGTCCCGGTCGTAGAATTCCTCATTGACAAGGTGAGTCAGTGAAATAGTTTTACGCAGTTTCTGTAAGTCAAGCATCCGGGGATAGAGGAGTGGAGACGCCAGCCACAAAGCTTTGACATATAGTACTACTGTTGGATTCACACAAGTATCGCCTGTGTGACGAGAGTTGACATTAGGCAGTGAATGCTTTTATTCAGATGTCTGTTTTAAATAAAATTCCTTTTTCCTTATGCATATTTTGTATTATCAATAGTTTGTTATTATTTTATCGACAAGGGCGCTGACGTGAATGCCAAGGACATCCAGGAAAGAACTCCTCTCCTATTGGCTGCTTCAAAGGGAGGCTGGGAGACAGTCACGTGCCTACTAAGCAACAAAGCTGACATCAAGGCCAAAGATCACAACAACAGGAACTTCATGCATCTTGCTGTCAAATTCGGTGGCAAATTAAACCAATTTGGTTGTAGTATTTTGCAGGTAGGAGACGTTTGTTTATCACAGCATTAAAACCAGATCCAAAATAAGATGGTCTTTTCTGTGGTTATGATGCCAATGTATGTATTGGTATCCAATTATTATTCCGTAGGGTATACAGCATTACCTAAACGAGAAGGATGACTTTGGGTGCACACCTCTTCACTATGCGTCCAAGGAGGGGCACCTCTTGGCAATAGACGATCTCCTTAATATGGGAGCCGTCATCAGCCCCAAGAACAACATGAAACAGTCTCCATTCCATTTCGCTGCAAGGTGAGCTTCGGCCCATGACGAGGTACTGCTTGAGAGTTTCTGTTGATATAAAATATATACTGAACCGCAAAAGAAACGTCACCCCAAGTAACATTGCATGAAAAGTTGTCATTTAAATATCTGGGTAATTTTTGTCAAAGTTTCTAAAATTTAACTTTACGTTGTCCGGAAAAATGAAATTTGATGATAAAAAACAAAGCAGATGACAATAAAACCGATCGCCCAAACGCATCACTGCAACGGCCATGGTAACCCGATGTACGTGAGTTCCGTGCAAATTGAAATGCACATGCGTTCTCCCATTTCCTCCTCTATAAATATCCACCCAGATCGGATAACATTCATTCGTTATTGAATTGCTACCACATGCCAAGATTGACAAGAAATCAGCGACACCTAGCCCTTGGACGATTGCAAGCTGGACAAACCGCCCGGAAAGTATCGAATGCATTTCAAGTCTACGTAAGGACCATATACATGCTCCAACAACGGTACCAAACCAACAACACTACAGATGACCGACCACGTAGTGGGAGACCAAGGGTCACCACCCGACGTCAGGATCGTCAGATTGTGCGACAGCATCTTCAAGATCGCTTTGTAACTGCTGCGAAAACTGCTCGGCAGACCATGGGGACACACGAGCGACACATTAGTGCGGACACTGTGCGTCGACGATTGACGAGCAGACACCTCCACTGTCACAGGCCACACCGAGGACCCATTCTGACACCACGTCATCGCCGGGACGGTCTTCAGTGGGCAACACAGCACCAGCATTGGCGCCACCAGCAGTGGAGAAGAGATCTCTTCTCAGCCGGGGTCGTTACTGTATCTCAACAGCAGATGGCAGAGAGAGAGTCTGGCGACGCCGTGGGGAACGTTATTCGGATGCTTGTGTTGTTGAGAGAGACTCGTGGGGTGGTCCGAGCATCATGGTGTGGGGTTGAATTGGTCTTGCACAGAGGGTCGGCCCTGTGGTCTTCCAGAAAATCGGTCCAGGGAGAGGCAGTGGTGTCACAGCAGCTCGGTACATTGATCAAGTCTTGGGACCACACGTCATATCTCATTTGGCACGTCGCCGCAAACACGAGTTTCAGCATGATAACGCCCGTGCCCACACTGCGAGAGCAACAAGAAACTTCCTCCAGCAGAATGGCATCAGAACCATGCAGTGGACTGCCCTCAGTGGGACGAGATTCGAAGACGGCTGAATGACGTCCGACCAAGGCCGACAACTGCTGCTGAACTGCGTCAGGCGTTCCACAGAGTGTGGGCTCAAGTGCCTATGGCCTTTATCAACCGCCTCATCCATTCCATGTATCGACTTTGCACGGCAGTCACCAATGCACATGGCGGTTCTGACTTGTGATGCTATTTTCTCAGAGACTAGTGTTGTGTTTCACTTTAAGAACATTTGACACTTTAATTTCAACCTTGATGATCAGTTTTGCCAAGTTTCATCTTTTTAATATGTCTCAAAGTATGTTTACAGTGTTTGGACAACTATGGTTTCATATAATATATATCCATGGTGACGTTTCTTTTGCGGTTCAGTATATAAACAATTTTGTCGACGAGTGTTGAAAAAATTGATATCAAAAGACACTCCGGCGAGATTCTATTTATCATTCGACATCATTCTTCTAACTTGTTCAGTTTGTAAACAGTAATAATAAGTGTCTTGAGTGTAGAACGTACACCTAAACAGCTTCAATGGCAGGATGGTTCTTCTATCACATGTGGATAACTTACCCATACCGAGTATCTACATGTGTTATGAAACTTCATATATCTTCATAACCAACGTTCAGATATGGACGTTTCAACACTTGCAAGCGCCTTTTGGAGAGCCAGAATGGGGCCAACATCATCAACGAGACTGACGGTGATGGTCGTACGGCTCTCCATCTCGCCGCCCTCAACGGTCACGTCAAGGTTGTAACCCTGCTTCTACAGAAGGGAGCGGTGGCAGCAAGGTAAGCCTCGTGGAAACCCCTTCCTACATCTCTGTTACACCTCTTCTGTATAGACACGAAGGACAGTGACTCTCTCTCTCTCTCTCTCTCTCTCTCTCTCTCTCTCTCTCTCTCTCTCTCTGTGTATGCGTGTCTGCGCCTCTCTGTGAGTCAGTGTCTCTGTGTGTGCGTCTGCACCTCTCTGTGTGTCTGTGTCTCTGTCTGTGTTTGTGTCACTTTCTATGTCTGTGTTTGAGCGAATGTCTGTGTCTCTGTTTGTGCTTCTGAACCTCTCTGTGTGTCTCTGTGTGTGTCTGTGTATGTGTGTCTGTGTGGACTGTTGTTAAATTTGATTATTTCTATTTAACAATTACTCATTCCTGCAACGGTTTGTAAGGATGTACCCGTGACTTGGTAATTTTGTGTAAAAATACAAAATGTTTCAATGAAAACTGAGGTAAGAAATGAATTTGCAACTACATGACCCTACCATGCTTGAAATCTTTAAAATTTGTGCCCCAAAAAGCAAATCTATTTATTTACAAAGATAATATTTCAAAGATCAGCAGTTGTGTATCAGATTTTTAACTCAAATTATATTTAAAAATTCCCTGTAAAGTATTCCGTTTTAGACATAATATCGCTAACAATTGTGCTCTGAGGACGTATCTCTCACTCAGCGAACCACTTGTTCCCGACACAAGGGCGGTAACTGACTATAAAAGTCATGTTTCCACCAACTGGACTTTAATAGTCAGTTAACGCTCTTGCCTCGGGAAGATGAGCAAACCTTTTAACAGTGATAGTATCAACTCTTGTGATACAATCTACACTGTTGCACACTTCTCAATGTGTTCCAGGGATAGGGATAGCAACACACCGCTCCACCTGGCGGCGTCTAGCGACTACACACGGTGCATGAGACTACTACTAGGAGTGCACGCCAACCTTCTCGACGTCTTCAACTTGCGCGGGGTAAGTCTAGACAGCAAATCCAGTTTTGTAGCTTGATTTTCTTCTAGAGGTACTAGTGGCTCAAACGCGAAAGGCTCTATACCTCTCTGTGCAGAGTTGCGTACCTTGGGGCGTGCCAGAGACCTATGATCGTGGGTTCGAATCCCAGATACGGCTTATTATGTTTCACGGCTTGTAATCACCATGCTCGGTGGTTTCACCAAAGTAGTAAAAGCGAAACCTTCAAGGGGCTTTCCTCCCAGCAAGCTGATCCTTCGTAGCTGAATTGGTTGTAGCGTAGCCTTGTGGTTAAAGCGTTCGCTCGTCACGTCGAATACCCGGGTTCTATGATCAAGTGAAAGATTGCTTGAGTTGGTGAAGACACGACGTGGATAGTGGGTGTTGAATCAGTGTATTAGTGAAGGAAGTAGGTTCTCAGAGATGATCATCAGTCAGTCAGTTATGCCAATCGCCCCTCCCGAAGCATAGGCCGCCGACAACAGTCCGCCAGAGTCCTCGGTCCTGGGCTGCCCTCTCTAGTTGTTTCCAGGTGTGTCCCATCTTCTTACTGTCTGCCTCGAGGTCCCGTCGCCAGGTGTTTCTTGGCCGTCCTCTTTTTCGTTTTCCCTTGGGGTTCCATGACAGCGCCTGTCTGGTGATGTTACTGACTGGCTTCCTCAGGGTGTGCCCAATCCATCCCCATGATGAGCATAGATGTCCCAAAACCTGTAACCCAAAGCTGTCCCAAGGCTGGTTAGTCCACACACATGTGCGTAGAGTATCACAATAACCAACTCATCAGGATACAAGCAGTTCAATTGTCCATCTGACAGGACACGGCCTTGCATGTGGCAGCACTGAAGGGGAACACAAATGCGGTCACGCTGCTGATGACCATGGGAGCAGAGTTCAGCAAAAACACCGACGGAAGGACGTTCTTTGACCACGCCATTGAACAGGGGAATTCCGATGTGGCAATGGGCATCGTTGGTCATGACAGGTATGTATGTTTGTTTGTTTGTCGTTAACGCCGCGCTATGCAAATGTTCAGCAATATTCCAGTAAAAAACGGCGGTCTGTAAATAATCGAATCTGGACCAGACAATCCAGTGATTGACATTATGAGCATTGATCTATGCAATTAGGGATACGATGACATGCATCAACCAAGTCAACGACCCTGACAACCCAACCCTGTTCGTCGCCTCTTACGACAAGCCCGGGTTACTGAAGATAAATTCTAACCTGGATCTTTCTAACCCGAATCATGACATGTCTTTTAATTTGTGTATTTGGAGAAGTATATGGATTTAACTGTAACCATCAAAGTTTGTCGAATAAGTTGTTTTGAAGGAGATATTCGGTAAAGATTGATCCGTTTCACGTATCCTTGTATTGTTCGGGGGAGAGGTATTTATATATAAAGATATAATTTATTTCCGATAATACTGGAAAATCTAATACTGAAAATGAATTGCATGTCCCGTAAAAAATGTGTTGTGAATTAAAAATGTTGTTTGGCACCTCCTTTCAAAGACATAAACGCGAGAGAATAATCAATCTGTTATATTTTTGTGAAACAATGTAATCGTGTAATTTCGGCTTCAAATTTTGAGAGTTATTGTTCACTGACGGTAATAGCACATTTTAGACATCTTATCTTTGAAAATCCATAAATAATAATTTTCGGCACACAATTTAATTTACATTTCAAACATGGTAGGGGCTATGTGGTTTCAAACTCATTTCTTACCCAAGTCTTTATTGAAGCAAAACCTTCTTGCACAAACTTACCCCGCCACAGATTACTCTTTACAAACTGTTGCAGGAAAGAATGATTGATAAATAGACATATTCAAATAAAACAACAGTTCTTTCACATTTAATTAACACAAGCAACAAACACATATGTAAATTCACGGTTCGCGAATATAGACGACTTTATGTTAATAAGAATTGAGGAACTATAATTAATGATAAATTCGGAAGACGATGTATCGCTCGTTGTAATGGACTCTGTGTATTCTGGAAATAATTTGAAGATAAGTACCACTTTACAGTTAACTACGGGTAAAACGAACTCAAATCAACCCCTAATATCTGTTCGTTAAAACCGTAGTTCATTATAAGAATATATACAGCAAAGGCACGGGACCAAAAACAATTCGTTTTATCCGTCAGTTCGTTATAAGCGTGTTCGTTATAAACGTAATTGCCGTATTTTGGTGTGCTATATTTCACTCATCAAAATGTATGCCTAACTTTTATATGACTAAACCTTCGTGAGTAAAGTCAATATGTTTCAATCTTCTAATATGAAGAATATATATATATATATATATTAGTATTTACTGAATTGCGCAAACTTTGTGAGAGAAGCTCTTATATTAAGAAATGTGTACACCTATTTATCAGTCCGTTGCACCGCATCTCCCAAAGTGTCATAGCATTCACTTACTGTCTGCAGGTGGGAGGACGCAATGGACATGTGTTCTACCCTCTACTGCGGCCCTATGATTGGTCTAATCAAACACATGCCAGAGGTCTGCATGGTAGGTTACAGGTCATTGTTACTGCAACCAGTACAGGGGATAGAATTTCGTCATTTACGGAAATGTTAAGAAAACTCTGTTAAGATCATAATCATGTAATTGTGTTCACCTAATAACATATGTACTACCTGCTTCCTATATATATGTAAAACGTTATCGGCAGCATATACGTTTGTTTGCTGTTTAATGCCGCACTCAGCAATGTCCAAGCTATATGACGGCAGTCTGTAAATAATTGAGACGAGACCAGACAATCCAGTGATTGATATCATGAGCATCGATCTACGCAAATGGGATATGATGACATGGATCAACCAAGCCTGACCTCCCGATCCCGGTAGTCACCTGTTACGACAAACTTTGGATGCCAAAGACCTATTCTAACGCGGATCTTCACGGGTCGGCAGCATATCTGGGTTACACTGAGACGAATATGGCTTTATTGTTTCAGGCTGTGCTGGAGAGGTGCCAGACTCCGTCCAACCACGACAAACGAAGCAAAGACTACTATGTAGGTCTGCATGTAGATAACCAATAAACGTCGATAAACGAAGAATTTTAATATATTATGATGAAGACCCCTTACACAAGTCGTCAAACCAGTGGTCTATAGGTTTTCAAGGCAATGTAGCGACTCCACCTACAACCAAATTATTGCATATGTAGCTTCGCCCTGGAGCTGATGCGTGTCTATGGTTATGTTGGGGATCGTGATTATTGCATTTATCCGTATCGGCTTACGTGCAGCTATTCGCGTATGTTATGTAGACTTCAGTTTCAATAACTAAGAACACAAGACCCACACGGTACATAAACTATCCTGCTCCGTCTCTTCCAGATAGAATACAACTTCAAGTACCTGCGCTCTTCGCCCAGCCACATGCTGGAGAAGAAGAAGCGAGGAGAGGAGTTTGAACCGATGCCACAACTCAACGTAAGAGTCCAACATTTCAGTCAATATTCTCCTGCATCCGACGTCTACGGTTATCATTAAGCGTCGTCCTGATTTCACTGATTTCAGTTGTCCATTCATATAATTTGCATAATTTGTCCGCCCTTAACGCCAAATGGAATCTGCTTGGGGGGATATTCAATTATTCTCCTACATTGACGTTTTATATTAAAATGTAAAAACGATCACTTGACGTCCTATTTTCATTTGTTTACAAAACGGACATGATATGAAAAAAAGTAAGTCAGCATAAATCACATGGGTTATGTGTCAAGGCATCTGAATAGCACCCCTTCTGTTTGGAGACTTACGGGTATCACTTTTTTCTGCGTGATCACTCTGAGGCAGTACCATCAACATTGGTCTTAAGACACCCCGGTAGAACACTTTGTATTGATCACTCTGAGGTAGTACCATCACTATTAGTCCTTAGACACCAGGGTAGAACACTTTGTATTGACCACTCTGAGGGAGTACCATCAACATTCGTCCTAAGACACCAGGGTAGAACACTTTATATTGATCACTCTGAGGCAGTACCATAACCATTGGTCCTAAGACACCCTTGTAGCACCCTTTATATTGATCACTCTGCGGAAGTACCATCAACATTGGTCCAAAAACACCCTTGTAGAACCCTTTATATTGATCACTCTGCGGAAGTACCATCAACATTGGTCCAAAGACACCCTTGTAGCACCCTTTATATTGATCACTCTGCGGAAATACCATCAACTTGGTCCTAGGACACCTTTTAGATCACTTTATATTGATCTCTCTGAGTTATTAACATCAACATTGATCCTAAAACACCAGGGTAGAACACTTTGTATCATACCTCTGTGTCAGAATGATGAGATCTGATTGGTCCACGGTGATCTTGATAAAGTACTTTGTATCCGGCCTTGGAGGGAAACATATTTCTCAGCGGGAGAAAAAATCCCTTATACCCTGCCATGAGCAAGTCAGCCTGCACGTGGATTTCTGAGAGGCAGAATAAATCCCTTATATCTCGCTTCAAAGCAAAGATCTGCACGCTTTGTTCCGAGAAAATGAAAGTCAGGTGACATAGCCAGATCTCCTCAGCTCAAAGAAACAGCTGTTTTCTATCAATTTTGAATTTGTTTCTTTTACAATGTCGGTACGATAAATCCGTTGTAGCAGGATAACTCGAGATGCATGGGGTTTTATGCGTTAGGGAAGCATAACACCAAATGTATCCTTCGTGATGTTGTCCTGTAAATGAAGCGAATAATCTGATGCACCCTTTACTCCTGTGTTTCAGGCGATGGTGAGAACAGGACGGGTGGAGTGTCTGTCTCACTCAGTCTGCGTCAACTTCCTGCAGATGAAATGGTAAATGGTAACACCCACTATACGATACAGATACACGGTACAGACACACTGTTCGGAATGCAGCAGACAAACTTGATGTTTTATGATCATAATTGAAATTCAACTACCCGGTGTTAACAATTTCTTTTCTCTACTAACATATATAACATTCGAGTTTCAAACGTCCTTACTACATGAACCAATGTGTGAAGCCAATTCTTCCCCACCGTCAGATTGCTGGAAAAGCCGTCCACACTCCCAACATTATTACTGCCGCGTTTGCCATGGTATTCAAGTGTAGCAGGGCGTGGAGTCATCCCACAGAGGGGCGGTCGGGTAGCTTAGTGGTTAAAGCGTTCGCTCGCCACGCCGAAGACCCGGGTTCGATTCCCGACATGGGTACAATGTGTGAAGCCCATTTCTGGTGCCCCCCGCCGTGATATTGCTGGAATATTGCTAAAAGCGGCGTAAAACCATACTCACTCACTCATCCCACAGATGACATCATTACCTTGTCAGCTTGCTGACGGGGTTAACCTCCTTGGTCATGTGGACAAGGCGTCCGACCTCTGATCAGAAGGTCCGTGGTTCGAATCCCGTGATGGGACTCGGAAATTTTATGGCCGCTACATTGGCGCCCAACGTGGGGCTGAGCACGTTCATATTAAATTTGAGCGAAAATGGCCGCTACACAAGCACTACCCATAGTCAGTATTGATAAATCCGTATCTGTTTCATTAGCAGTAACCATGCCATAATGACCCATCCAGATTATGAATTTTTAGTAAGTTCAGCAATCCATACAAAGACCCGTAAAGCTCCATCCTCTATATGTCCAGGGGCTCGCATATCGGTAAACCTATATTAACCCCTGGATCTATTCCCGTGGTCCTTGCGATCTCAGATTACCACGGAAATGGATCCAGGGGTTAATGTGGGTTTACAAATATGCGAGCCCCGTAGATATTTAGGATGGTAAAGATCTCTCTAAAGAATAAATAAACATGTTTGATGTATACTTTAACAGGAACTACTACGGCAAGTGGATCTACTCCGCCTATCTGTTCATCTATATCGCCTATCTGGCCTTGCTAACAACCTTCATCATCAACCACGACTCTCTTCAGCATCATGACCGGGGAGCCATCGACAACAGCACGATGAAGATTCTGAAAGGGAACAACAACGGCGGCTACATGGTACGTCATGATTTTCCCACCATAGTGAAAAATAAGATGGTGTTCGGTATTCCGCAGAGGGGGTTGGCACCCTTATTAGTAGCATTAGGGTTTCAGTTCAAATGAAAGATTAGTAGGAGTGTACTAAATAAACAACAGTATCGTTCATATTTTTGAAAATACATCGACGACCGTAACCTTTCATCGATTTTCAAATAGGATTGTATTATTTCGATATTTTTTGTAATCCTGTTTATCTCGAAAAGAACTATTTTTGTCGTTGCGAAGAATATAAACGATATTATTCAGCACATTTATCTTAGATCCTGAAGTCTCTCCTGTATGTCATCTGTGTGTTCTCCATCCTGTAGATTTATATTCTGCATCTTTTGTTTGTTTGCTTACCAGTTCAAGCCAATGTACGCAGTGGTACTGTGGTTGATAGGAATATACGCTGTGATCAACATGATCAAGGAGGTTTTCCAGATGGTTACCCAGGTAGGGTTTATCAATGTATTCATAACGTCATACCATGATTCAAATCTATTCAGTACCCTAACCTGTCATTCGTGTCATCCCAATCCTCTACAACATCCTTACCCTATGAAACAAGAGAATCATATACTGTAAATCGTGAAACTAATGCGTCTCCAAAAGAATGCGACCACTGGCCCCCTAGCCAAAAATGCGGCTCAATATGAATGCGACACCGACCTCCTCTCAAGGATCAGTGGATTTATGTTTAAAGAAAATGTCCTCTGTCAGGTTTACAGAAGAATCCACACCGTAATCCATCCTTACATTAATCCAATCACACACCAAATAGCACCGCTTATTAGCGCTGAGTAAAGATCTTCCGCTAAAACAATACATGCGCGCTGGATCGTGTCGGCCTTTGACGCAGTCGCAAAGAACAAAGACACCGTGTTGCGCGGATGGCGTCTGCAGGGACTTGCAATATAATACAACGCAATCATGTAGCATAGATACAACTTACGTATATTCCAATTCAAACACAAACTATACCACGATCATAGAACACACTAACCCTTTTCAACAATATATTCCTACAGCCCCACAAATCCTAATCATTTTCGTCTTTCTGATCAGTATAAGCTTAAGTCTAACTCAAAACCATTTCTACATCTCTGAAGGCTGAGGTCATTGTATGACTCCTGCTGTGTTCACGAGCATGTTTTTTTTAATGACTATCAAATACTGCTGATACCAGGTGTTCACGGAATGATGAGCGTATCCTGTCCCACCGTGGTACCCGTCACAAACACATGCAAAGCAAAGTCAATTGTTCACCTGAAAACACACTGGTGTCTGTCTAAATAGGGAACCCAAACCCCAAATATAAATACAAAATTATTTTTCAAGGTATGCTAGCAACACTATATGAAGTGCCATGCGTTTCCTTGTGATGTATCAGGTGATGCGACTGGTGTTTCAGAAATGGCGCTACTTCACAGACAAACAGAACTTCCTGGAGTGGTCCCTGTACATTTCCACCCTCTTGTTCATCGCCCCTTTCCTGTTCCATCTGTCTTTCCACTGGCAGTGGGAGGCAGGGGCTCTGGCTGTTTTCCTGGCCTGGTTCAACTGCCTCGTCTTTCTGCAGAGGTAAGCAATGGCACGAACGTCTTTTTACACGCTTCATCATTCATCAAGAGCTTAGTCTTGACGTGGTTGAAGTGTCCTCTCATCAAGATGAAGGTACAGGTTTGATTGCTAACAATGTTTAAGACTTCTGAAGCCCATTTTCGGTGACCCCCGCGGTGACAATGCTAGAATATTGCTAAGACGGCGACCCACACTCCCCACTCACTCTTCGTAGGTAAGGCCACATCAAACTGATGAGTTGTTCCTCGGTTTCCCGGGCACCTTTTTTTCCAAATGTTTAACCAGTTTTTTGCTCTAATGACCATAATATTATCTTACCAACTTTAGCAAAGGGTAGAACATTGTATAGGTTATGTAGTAATCATATAACATTTGACAATAATAATTTGATGCATAGGTGCATTATCGACTTCATCAGGAATGCACGTGTATTTTAATTTGGAAAATGTCCACTAGCTTCCCACCTTTGACCCAAACAAATTAGATAATTATTTTCATGTGGCCCATATAGAAAGCTGATTGCACTGACTTTGAAGACCCTGCTCAATTATTGTTTCTTGTCATGGTGTGGCTATTTTAGCCACTCTTCTCAACAAGCTTGTTACAAATCTACTCTTGTGACCTCCTCCATGGCACTGAACAGGAATGGTAAAGCTTGCAAGAATACCGAAAAGTAGTTTTTTTCTATACGTAGCCATGTATATTTCAGGTTCGACTTCTTCGGCATCTATGTTGTGATGTTCCTGGAGATTCTGAAGACGCTCCTGCAGGTGATCTGTGTGTTCTCTATCCTCATCATCGCCTTCGGCCTCGCCTTCTTCATGCTGCTCAAACACGAGGTACGTCTCACCATCACCCTCACCCTCATCTTCTCCCTCACACCCATCTTCACCCTCACCCTCGCCATCACCCTTACCATCAACCTACTAGTTATCTTCACTCTCACCCTCGCAATCACCTTTACCATCAACCGCACAGCAACCTTCACCCTCACCCTTGCAATCACCTTTACCATCAACGTCACACCCACCTTCACTCTAACCTTCGCAATCACCTTTACCATCAACCTCACACCAACCTTCACTCTCACCCTCGCAATCACCTTTACCATCAACCTCACACCCACCTTCACTCTCACCCTCGCAATCACCTTTACCATCAACCTACCACTCATCTTCACTCTCACCCTCGCAATCACCTTTACCATCAACCTCACACTCATCTTCACTCTCACCCTCGCAATCACCCTTACCATCAACCTCACTCTCATCTTCACTCTCACCCTTGCAATCACCCTTACCATCAACCTACCACTCATCTCCACTCTCACCCTCGCAATCACCCTTACCATCAACCTCACTCTCATCTTCACTCTCACCCTTGCAATCACCCTTACCATCAACCTACCACTCATCTTCACTCTCACCCTCGCAATCACCCTTACCATCAACCTCACTCTCATCTTCACTCTCACCCTTGCAATCACCTTTACCATCAACCTACCACTCATCTTCACTCTCACCCTCGCAATCACCTTTACCATCAACCTCACACCCACCTTCACGCTCACCCTCGCAATCACCTTTACCATCAACCTCACATCCACCTTCACGCTCACCCTCGCAATCACCCTTACCATCAACCTACCACTCATCTTTACCCTAAACCTCACTCTCAAACTCATCTCAACCTTCATCATCATCTTCATCCTTACCCTTACACTAACCCTTACCTTCACCTTCACCTTCACTTTCAACCTCAACCTCACACTCACTCTCAAACACATCTCAACCCTCATCATAATCTTCACCATCTTCTTCACCCTTACCCTCACACTCATCCATACCTTCACCTTCACCTTCAACCTCATCCTTAACCTCAACCTCACAGTCACAGTCACTGTCAAACACATCCCAACCCTCATCACCATCTTCACCATCATCTTTACCCTCACCCTCACACTTACCTTCACCTTCAACCTCAACCTCAACCTCAACAGCAACCTCAACCTCAACCTCCCACTAACACTCATTCTCAAACACATCCTCAAACGTACCCCCACGTTCATTCTCTGGCGTCAAATACCATAGCTACAGCATATGCATCGGCGTGGGCCGGTCATGTTTATAGCACACATAGCTTTTCCTTCATGCACAATCGCCAGGTGTGATTCCACCGATTGTGCAAGACGTATGTGATAAATCTAACAACTACAGACCGAATGATTGATGAAATGTACGACAAGAATGTTGAAAATATGATACAAATGTATGACTAGTTGCACAAACATGACTTCACCTGAAATGAAACAATCACGTTATTGACAGACGCTCTGGAAAAACTTTGTCGTCCGTGGAGAAATGACATACAGTAAACTACGGTTATAACGAACTCAAAGGGACTACTTATTTTAGTTCGTTATAACCGTAGTTCGTTATAAGCATATATACAGTATATATACATGAAATGGTCGGGACTAAAAAATAAGTTCGTTATATCGGTCAGTTCGTTATAAGCGTGTTCGTTATAACCGTAGTTTACTGTACACACCATGTATGTACTCTATGATACCTTCCTTCGTATGTGGAAAGGCACAATACATCCAATTGCTTTCTCTCACGATTCATGGATTGATCATGTATAAATGTTTACATGCAGAAACGGAATTAGTTGAAACTAAATCGGCATTGTTTCCATTGCTTTCAAACAGAACATACGCCACCAACACAACTTTGTAAATCTCAACGCAATATCCTAGCGTCAACAATATAAAAGTACATGAGTCTGGAACCTTATTCAGCAGCTGACACCAATTTATGTCCGAACATCATAAACAAAGAATGACATTATTGCACGTTTTATAGCTCCCTTCCACAATCTATCAGTGTTTGTTGCTTGTAATTTAACCGGGTATATCCCGTTCAGTTCTAAATCACTATTTACTGTTAAAAGAAATAATGCAAAGTCATGTCATTATCGCACTGAATCTGTTCTGTGATTGAGGAGAGTAATGTCGTGTAAAGGGCGTGTCGCAAAGTACGTTTCGTCACACCAAATTCACGTAGTCATGTTTGTTTTCCATTACGATGTTTTTACATCGAACATGTTTAATTGATCATCTGAATGGACAATGGAACCCATATCCGTAAATACACACTCAAATAATACTCTATTTAGGTCGAAATAATTCGTTTGCCATTGTGACTACGATGATGGCTTGGCAGTGACTTGCTAGTTCTTGCACTTAAACTTGTAAGCAGGTGTTCGTCATCCAGTCCAGCTTCGCGTAAATCGTGTATCTAATTACTTGTAACGTCGTAATTATCGTAATGCTGAAACATTTTTGCAGCTTGAAAACAGTCATGTATAAACAGGGACCCGTTAGCAGTTAGCATGCGTAAACACGTGTGGACAAAGACAATCTGCAATGAGTGTTTTCCCACGCCACCTACAGCACCCATAAACGTTTTACGGAATATCTTGAGTGTATTAACTGGCGGCTATCAAGGGCTTTTAAAGCCCATTACAGAGTTGCAAGTCATCTCTTAATCCGATAACGTAGTAGTATTTGTCGCTAAACCAATACATAGTCCACTTTGATAAATAACGTATCGCAGGTGAGTGATCATTGACGTAGCTACGTGTAATTCCTTTCATGTGGCAATTAACTGGTAGAACTATATTATTTATGCATATTCTGTATTTACACGCTCTTCATGCGGATAGTGATCTTTCGAAAACGAACTAGTTGTGCCTTTCAAAGTGGAAATATTTAGACTTAAACAAAAACTCCACCATATGGTTATGTTTAATATCTAGACTATTTTTTGTTTTTTATGTTATGTATATGCACTTTATACCGAAACTGCGAACTTACGTATGTATCTGCTATCCTCTTCCCATCCCTCTTTCACTCCTCACCCTACTTTCTCTCTCCTAACCCCCTCTCTCTCGCTCTTTCTCTCTCCCTCCATCTCTCTCTCCTTACTTTCTCTCCCCTCTCTCCCTCCCCTCTACGCCCCCCCCCCCCCCTTTCACCTCTCTCTCGCGCGCTCTTTCTCCCTCTCTACCTCCCTCTCTCCCCTACTTTCTCTCCCCTCTATCCCTCCCTTTCACACCTCTCTCTCTTGCTCCCTCTAGCTCTCTCCTCTCTCTCTCTCTCTTTCTCTCTCTTTCTCTCTCTCTCTCTCAAACAGTGTTAAGTCATCAGTATGTTCTCTCTTCAGGAGTCGAGAGCCTACTCTAGTCCTGGGTTGGCGTTATTGAGGACGGTGACGATGATGTTGGAGATGGACTACATGGAAACATTCAACGGGCCCTTCACCGACGACAACGGCAGCACCCTCCATTTCGACACATTGACGTTGTTCCTCCTGGCCGTGTTCGTTCTCCTCATGCCCATCCTTCTCATGAACCTCCTGGTAAATAATTAACATATACACCGAGCTACATTGTGTCGAATCCCCTCTCCGGGAACCTCCTGGTAAATAATTAACATATACACCGATCTACACTGTGTAGAGTCCCCTCTCCATGAACCTCCTGGTTAATAATTAATACATTTTACACTGAGCTACACTGTGTAGAATCCCCTCTCCGTGAACCTCTTGGTAAATAATTAACATATACACCGAGCTACATTGTGTCGAATCCCCTCTCCGTGAACCTCCTGGTAAATAATTAACATATACACCGAGCTACATTGTGTCGAATCCCCTCTCCGTGAACCTCCTGGTAAATAATTAACATATACACCGAGGTACATTGTGTCGAATTCCATATGGTAATAACAGGCCAAATAATGATAAAAATATTTTATGCAGGGGTCACTGAAAATCAGCGAAGACACCAGGTGTTCGCGGACATACACTAGTCTTGTCATGCTGGGTCCATATATTCGTTTGAAGTTTGGTCACTAGGATGAATTCACCATATCATATAGGATAAACCTGCGAGAAAGCAGCCAAAGCTCGGATATGCGATCCAAATGTATTTTCCGAAAACTGACAAAAAATGCAATATTGTACTGTTCAGATTGGTTTGGCTGTTGGTGACATCGAGTCTGTTCTGAGAAATGCCCGCCTGAAGAGACTTGCCATGCAGGTACGTAATGCCGTCATTTTCGCTGGGAGTTTTGTGTGCTAAAATATCAATCTCAGTCAAACTCACGTAAATATGTTTTTAATAATACTATCAATAAATACTAACGGAAAAAACGTATTTTTGCTTCATATAAAGTTCAATAAAAATAAAATATTCTGAAATTAGATAATGCATCTCCAACACATATTCATGAAGACATCTCCTCGACTTTAAGGTCGTGATTCACAATTTCCACGTGCATGTTCATGCACCACGCACAATTTGGATGTTTGTGTGTTTGTTTGGAGCATGATACTCGCAATTTTATTGATACCTCGTATTTTGTAATGCGAACTGCACACAATGATTGTTTGGCTGTCAGGTGTGCATAAAAAAACCACTTTTATTTAACCGTAAATAAGGGTTACGCAATGTCATGGCTTGCCGAAAATCAAGGTCCACGTGATGTGGGTACGCTGAAAACACGAGGGGTCGTCCACGTATGACGTCATGTCAACAAGACAACCATATTTGTTTGGTGCATCTACGGAATCGATACCAAACTCCCACATTAACAGCTCCGACAATTCCTGGGTTGAGAGCAATTAGTGACGGAAACGTACACAACCAGTTGGGGGATCAAAACGCCCAGTTTTGCTCCCTCGTCACCGTCAGGCACAACTAGTTTGGTGTAGACAGCATCTGAGGTTCAGGAGACAAGACTGGGTCGGTATACTGTTCAGGTTTCATCTGGACAGCTGTGATGGTCGTGGAAGGGTCTACAGGCTTTCAGGAGTGAGTGAGTGAGTGAGTTGGGTTTAACGCCGCTTTTATCAGTATTCCAGTTTTATCACGGCGTGCCAGCTTAATGTGGGAAGAAAGCCCGAAGTGATGCAGTGACGTTTACCACTTCGGTGAAACCCGGGAGCACGGGTATGGTGCTGACAAACCTAGAAACATAATCGGGGCGAACAGGCTTCGGGCTTTCCTCCCACATTAAGCTGACACGCCGCGATATAACTGGAATACTGTTAAAATCGGCGTTAAACCAAACTCACTCACTCACTCACTACATTGTTAACTGAGTTGTCACACCACCCATCATGTAGGGCGCGTCGCTCTGTCTCCTGTTCCCAGGTATGGGTTCACTCAATGCACCTGTTATGATAAAACAATGATCAAACAAATAACAAAATATTAAGACATTTACACCACTTTATATGAAGCACAGTTACTTTTTTTCCGTTTGTATATTTACATGCCAAATTAATCGCCTTATATTACTAGTCAATACAGCATATACTGTTTGACTGCAGGTTGAGCTTCATACAGACATGGAGCGAAAGATGCCTAACAAGTTGCTGACCAAGGTGGACAAGACCACCCACAGGATCTACCCCAACAAGTGCCGGCACGCGATCTCTCAAGTACGCTAATCTTAAGAGGATTCTATGACCGCCTCCGTGGTCTAGTGGTAGAGTGTCCGCCCGATCCCCGGCCGCGTCATACCAAAAGACGTTAATAGATAATACTTGTTACCCTGTCTGGCGCTCGGCATTAAGGGGTTCAAACAAGGACTGGTCGGCTCGGAGTCAGTATACTGTGTCTGAATGGGGGTATGTATGTTAAACTGCGGCATGGCATCTGAGTGGGCTGGCACTATAAATCGGCATCAGTCCGGACAAGTACAAGCAGCCACACACAAATACAGCGCTTACGTGTATACGATGTTAATACTCATGTAAACTGGGTTCTGATGTACTCTGGAAGCGGGGTTATTGTAGTAACCTGTGTTGAAAGTTTTCTGGGATGGCTTCAATAGCACGTATATCAAGTTATGTTTTCAATACCTAACACTGATTTCATATAGAGATCCATAGGCCAGCTGCTTCATTTTCAAGATTGGCTGTCATATACCAGTGAGTGAATGTTTCTAATGCCGCAATCAGTCAGCCAATTCACAGAACCTCCCATTCCATCCCCGTTTACGTCAGCTCCTGACCCTGCATCTAAACAGAGGTGGCAATATACTGGCTTTTAAATTACGTTAATGTTCTGTGTTTAACAGGTGCTGTCAATGGTGATGTCTTATGACGACGAGAGCAGCGACTTATGCAATGACGGCCAAAGTTGTTACAACAGCTACATCTCCGGAGAACTCTACAAGCAGAAAACTAGGTAAGTCAATATAAAACGTCAATGCCAGAGAATAACCAGTCTCGATTATCGGCCGAAACAGATTCTATAGGGCTGTAACAGGCAAAATAGCGGTGACACCGAAAATAAGTAATGACAGTTGTTCGCGAATAGGGAAAGAATGCCCTGACCATTTGGTAGCATACGCCACTTAGTTTTGCACATTGTACCGCGTCTTCTATAGGGGCGGTCGGGTAGCCTAGTGGTTAAAGGGTTCGCTCGTCAAGACGAAGACCCGGGTTCGATTCCCCGCATGGGTACAATGTGTGAAGCCCACTGCTGGTGTTCCCCGCCGTGGTATTGCTGATAGTGCTAAAAGCGGCTCAGAACAATACTCCCATCACTCACTCTTCTTCCAATAAGCTGACACGACGTGATACAGGTGGAATATTATTCCAAATGATGTCACACCCATCTCACTCATTCACTCCTGTCACTTTGTGGTTAAAAGCTCATCCAAGTCAGTATGTGTGCAATATCATGCGGGTGAGATACGAAGAATATATGAATCTATATTAATGGTATTGGGCGGGGTTGTCCGATTTAACCTAACATAAATTGAGCGCAACAATATCTGTGTCGCTCCTTGCTTAGCACTATGATGTTATTTATGGTATATAATCACATGGGTTTTATTTGGTAGATCAGGTTCCCATAACAACAATAGAGTACAGTAATATTATCTGTTGGGGATTGATAGAACATGGCCATGGACAGTCTAAGGGAACCCAGCTTTCAGAGATGTAGATGTAATCTGTATTGAATTCCTATTTCGCTGCCCCGAAACCCACTTCCAAAGATCCCACTTACGCATACTGGCAGTGTTATATTGTAACGAGGCGTAAACCCACTCAGTCAGTTCATTGTATCCGTTCTGTTGGCCAGGATGAAGGAGCTAAGCGCATCCATTGACAAGAGCCACCAACTGCTGCGGCTGATTGTCCAGAAGATGGAGATCCAGACCGAGGATGAAGTGTGGGATGAGGGTCTGGCCCCTTGCGACAGTCTAGAGTCAATGCTTAACCCCTCGGGCAAGGGTGTGTGGCGGTCGTCCAAGAGCGGGAGGCAGATGTTACAGCAGTCAATGATCGTCACCCGATGGAAGCGGAACACGGATAAGATGTGATAAGATGGAGATGGACGGAGAAGAAAATATTTGTGTCTGAAATTAGATGGCGGAGTTGAAAAGTGTGAAGCTATTTCAAAAGGACTAGACAGTATGCCAGAGGAGTGAATGTGAATGTGGTCAGAACATGGAGTATTTTGTTGCTGATCAGGAGGAGACTGTGGAAAACATGTGGAAGCAGGGGTTGGCATGATGAGTACAACAAACCAAAGACAAGATTTGGACTCAGAGGGAAGTACGAGTGTTTGTGATGAAAAGAAATCACATCCGGTGTCGCCACGCGACAATAGTTGGACTTAAATAGCAAACGTTATCTGTCATATTTGAATAATCAGATCACAAGCTAAGGTAAATCAATTGGTATTACAATTGTCTCACCAACGAAATGCGTTGCATCTGATTCATGGTCACGTAGAACCCTATTGGAAAAATTGTCCGGAAAATAAAACTTTTCTTTGGGAAAAGCTAATGGTAATACATAAGGTTTTAAGGTAACAAACCATTATGATGTGATATCCTAAAAATATATGTATGAAAGATAAAATCGCGTACCTCCAAGGGGTGGGTGAAGTCTCGGCAACAAGTAAACGATAGCGTAATTTCGTAAACAATACATTTCACTGTAAAGCAAAGATGTATTCTGTAGTGACGACTGCTTGACACTAAGTTAAGCCCTACTAGAGATTTTCTTGTAACTTTGATGCCGATACGTTATGCATAGTTGTACTGTGCTGCCCTAAAACTTTCAAAACGGGAAGACAAAAATTGTCAAAAAGTGCATTTATTATAAAATGTTTTTTGTTGTTTACTCTTATGTATGTTTATTGTTCCCATGCAAACTCCCCAGTCGCTACGTCATGTACAATTATGATACACGTGTCCATCAGTTGTTATTAGTTTTACTTTTATAGTCAAAAAGCACAAATATAGTTTGAACTACGAATGCTTTAGCATCCGTGATTCAGTGTCATACCGAAAATTGCAATAGTAACCTTTCATCCTATTACAGTAAGGAATTCCGTCTAGAAGTTGAATCTCGTCTTTATCAGTATCGTGTAGCTTGTACCATCCGGTGTCAATTTTATAGGATCGTTTGACATTTGAACGTGGTTTTGTCATGTGTCATTTTGTTCAATAAATTCGTTTTTATCTGTTCTATATAAATGTTATCGTGTTTATGTTTTTCTTGAATGATCAGTTTTGTTAAATGTAGATTATTGATGTACATTGGGTTTTGTGTATTTGTATATATTTTGTAGGTATAATTACTTGCAAGTGTTGGTATAATGGGGGAGTGTGAAACACGTGTTGATACCCAATAACCTGATACCCAGTACCCCACCATGCAGCAAAAATGCAAAGCTTTGGTTAATCTACAATACGGATACGACGACACAAACTTCTACAACAGTACTTTTTTTACTGCGAGTCATTTAGCAGATTTCATTAGTCCAAATTAAAGGTTCACGTGTCCAGAAAGTCGGATTTTTTTCCTGTACAGAAGATTCGAATTTCACATAGCAGCAACACAAATTAAAGGTTAACCAGATATCATGAGGTTGCATCATTTAGACATTAAAACATTTTTACATTAATGCAGTTATTGCTATTCTATTATTGACCGCACCCAGGCGGTAGACGAAATTGTCCGTGAATATTCGTGTGTACACCACCCTATGTATATTACTCTCGTGCCTGTTTATATTATATGAAACTCTGAAAACAGATTGAATGGTTACAAGTGTCGGTACATGAGTCTTTGGGGCACTCTCGCCAACTTTGAGACACTCTCGCCAACTTTGAGACACTCTAGCCAACTTTGAGACACTTTAGCCAACTTTGAGACACTCTAGCCAACTTTTTTCTATAAATCTTTGAGTCCATTTTACTCTTGTCAACAAAGCCATATTGTCATCTCCTGTATAAATCTCTGTGCCAAATTAAGTTGGTAGATATGACTTTGGAGAAGGTTTTTCACATTATTTGTAGATAAGTCTTTGAGACACACTCGTCAAAAAACGGTACATACGTCTTAAAGGCGCTCTCCAATGCTCTCACACAAGCTTTGAGAATAATGCTGCACTTTTGTCTTCATCTAATTCCTGAAACTCTGAAGAACTAATGTTGATATAACAAGAACAACCATGTTATTATGTATCCTCCGTATATAAAAGCATAACACAGCAGGACTGTGTTTATGCAGTTTCTTTAATTACAACATCGAGAATCAGTTTATGGCCAAAACACAAGTCCTAGTTCAACATTGTATTACTCTCAGAGACAACTGGGAAGTGTAATTACTCACAACATGTAGTTTGACTGACATGATGGCATGTTTATTCGACTAACATTGAACACGTGTTTCTGACTCGCAATATCGTGTGTTTGCCAAAGAGTGATTTATCACTGGATGTATAGAGTATAGGAGATGGCAATGAGAATGTTTACGAATCTGCTGCTGTTTTAGCGCCACGTTGTTGAAGCAGTCATCGATCCTACATAAATCACACTGTTTACCCGGGGAACTTGAGGTTTGTGTCCTGTAACCAAACACTCGGTCCCTCTCGTGGGTCATTTCGACTCATCAGAATTCATTCATAAATAACCTTTTTATGTGTGTAAATGAGCAGCTGGCAGTGTAACTAGATTTGCGTGTTAATGTCAACGCAAGACATTGTTCCATTATCTACACTATCTGCTAAAATATTTCTAATTTGCTTTTGCATCTCGTGGTAATTGTGCACTTGCTGCAAAGAAAGTAAATGTAATCTGTTACCATGGTATAGTCGTGAGTAACCGACTTTTGTTCCCGTTAATCGTGATAGTATATTCTGATATAATGTATGCAATTATGGCCAATTATAACGGTGGCCTCAAATATGGAAGGAAACCCGGTTTATAAATGTTTATTTCAATAGTCTAAATGACTATAGCCGCATAATATACCATCATATTTACATATTATAGCAGGGGGCACGGGTGTCCCAGTCGTCTAAGGCGCCGCGATTCGCTGTACAGACTTGCGTCCCTTGGGCACGCCAGAAACCTATGATTGTGGGTTCGAATCCCGGTTCGATTATGTTTCTAGGTTTGTCAGCACCATACCCGTGCTCGTGGGTTTCACCGAAATGGTAAACGTCTGAGACCTGCATCACTTCGGGCTTTCCTCCCACATTAAGCTGACACGCCGTGATATAACTGGAATAATTTTAAAAGCGGCGTTAAACTCTACTCACTCACTCACATATTATAGCAATTTCGATAAGCACGCAGATACCGTAAATCCCATTATTTCGACCATCTATACAACTTCTAAGACTTAATCTGGACTCGGGACTCTCAACGACGGAGGGGCGGTCGGGTAGCCTAGTGGTTAAAGCGTTCGTTCGTCACGCCGAAGACCCGGGTTCGCCCCCGACATGGGTACAATGTGTGAAGCCCATTTTTGGTGTCCCCCGCTGTGATATTGCTGGAATATTGCTAAAAGCGGCGTAAAACCATACTCACTCACTCAACGACGGATAAAACAATACATTTAGAACGTCATGAGATCATCAAGGTGACGAGGTTTTATTGTTGACTGCTTTTGTTCACTTGCTCACTGCCTCGTTGAGATCTTAGTTTGAATCGGTATCAAAGATGTTTGGATAATTTCTATGATACATTTGTCCCTGTGGTGTTAAGATCTGTTAATTGTTTATGTATTGAGAGTGGTGTTAAGATCTGTTTATTGTTTATGTATTGAGAGTGATCTAATAAATGTTGTTGTTGATATATTAACGTGTTGTCGTTCAATAAGTCCACACAACACCCCAGAGACACAAAATATATCCGCTAAAGGTACTCTACAACACAATATACCACGAACAAAATGCACAGCACAAAGTACACCACATTTCACATCACAAAACAGAACACTATGTACAGTATCCCACTCAATACACAACAAGACAATATACCACATACAACATACACTACATTGCACATCACAAAACACAACACTATGTACAGTATCCAACTCAATACACAACAAGACAATATATCACATAAAACATACACTACATTGCACATCACAATACACAACACTATGTACACAACATCACACGCAATACACAACACTATAACATAATACACCGCAACAGAATATACCACATACTAAATACACCACACAATATACCACTGCACAAATCACACACAATACACAACACCACAAAACACAATTCACCGCAGCACAACATACCACATACAAAATACATCACAATACACCGCACTACACACAAGAACATAATGTATCATATAAATAATACAGGGCGGTAGGGTAGTCTACTGGATAAAGGGTTCGCTCGTCACGCCGAAGACCCGGGTTCGATTCCCCACATGGGTACAATGTCTGAAGCCCATTTCTGGTGTCCACCGCCGTGATATTGCTGGAATAATGCTAAAAAAGCGGCGCAAAACCATACTCACTCATAAAGAAATAATTCAATAAACATACAACACCGTATAAGCAATATGACAATACAGAACAATACGCAGCACCAAATGAACAACACCACACACACATCACATAATTATACAACACAACAGTTCACACAACACAACTGCCAGAATAGCTGACATTAGAAAACGAAGCAAGAAAAGTTCAGTCAAATTGACGTTAAACACATTTATTCTTTTTTTGTATTAACACAGCGATAGAAGTCTCCTAAAAAATACAAAGACATATTGGGTGCAGTTTGACAACATTGCACTGTCATTTTTTCCAGTACGCTAAAGTGCTTTCTTTGACCACAAGACAATCATATTAAAGACAGAACTGGCAATATTCCTTCTACACAAATGATGGTTTTTCCGAAGAATTCTGAGTTGCTGATGCACTTGATATTTGATATTAACCACAAAAGAGATATAAACACTGACTTCCTGCTGATCCGGTAAAGAGATACGAGGAAGTTGTGTAACCGCGGGAGTCAGCGCGTGCGGCTGACCAGTCACGTGACAATAACAATAACATTCAAATGTGAGATCAAAGTGAGACGAACTTTCATATTTGAGTTATATGTACGCGAGACACATACATCTGAAATACACTGATGAATGATAGTACATCCATGTGGACATAACGTGATCCTCGTTGGTTTGTCAGTATCAACAAGTGTTGACTCTCGTCACTAAAGCATAGACGCTGCTGTTGATAACGTGGAATACTGGATCAGTTATGCGAAGGTTAAACTGACAAACAAGGATGCGTATTGTTCTTTGCATCATGATATAGTCAGGTCTTGATATCAAGTTGTTGAATCAAAGTCATCCGGAAACTTCATGTAATTACTGTGAGTATATAAATGCACGACGACTGATTCGTGGAGCCGAAGGAGCATAACCGTATATACATACAACCTTTGAACACATTTCGTGAATTATTCTTTGCCGCAAACTACGAACTTGAATGTGTTGATGGGTTATATGACAAGTATGGTAAAGGGAATTAAACGATGGTTGGAGTCAAGGAGAGGATCCGGACCCCCTTCCGTTCCTGCAGATGACCGCACGGGAAGTGTCAGTGTTCGCCTGTCCCTAACAGAGGTAGGTCATCGTCACTTGATACATAAACTCGTATCCCTTTGTAAAGTAACGTCCCTTTGCCGTGCCAGGATCCGCTTATCGTGGGTCGAATCCTTAATGTTCCTTCATTTCACCTAATGTATATGTCTGAAAAAGGGCGTTCAACCAAATCCATTCACATTTAAATGTATACTTTAATAGTACCAACATTCCTACGTAGCGTTTCTCAATGTGTTGTAATTGTACAGACAACGTACAAAATATTTTCTCTGTAAAGGATGCAGTCCGCCGACCGCAGTGTCAATTACTACGTTCGTTAATATCCTCTGTACGTATTCGTTGTTCTCACTGTATTTCTATATACGTATTCGTACAAGTCGTCGTCAAACGTGGCTTACAACGTATGTTTAATTCTATTGGACTTGGCATATTATTAATCAAGGTTCTGAAGTTACTCCATAGAGTTGACGTGAGTCAACATACTCGATTATCTAGTGCATCTCATTTTAGGCTGATAATTACCCTGGATCCTTTCTCAGACATAGCTTCGTTTCGAAAGGGACGTCCTGTCTGCATTTCTCTTATCACTAACC